TATAGAATGTTTTTCTCAATGTCCAAGAAACATTTTGTACTGGTGTAGAGAGGGTCCTTAAGGTAATATTACACTCATTTTAAGTCAAAATGAGGTTCTCTGTTGATTGAATTTCAAAAGCTTATACATGTAGGTAGTTCACTCCCAGGGGCATAACCCCTACGGACAGTGTTTTGGACCTAATTAAGAGTGGCAGTGGTTTGTATTATTATATGATTTCCACCTAATTGTACTTTCCCTAATACTTATTTTAACCTCGGTGCCTTAATGAGAAAGAACAAAATCACAAAATCTTTAAATTACATACTGAATTTTGATTGTCATTCTTAATGTATATGATGGGGGGGGGCACTCTTGACTATGTGCTTGTCCTACTTAAACTAATTAAGAAGTGCATGTACATGTTAAAACATGTGTATATATGTTTCAATTAATAAAGCAAGTTGCTTCCAAAAGAACGCTCATGATTTTGTGTAGGTATTTATTGTTTCCATGGAAACAAATCCTGTTGCACTAATTCAGATATATGTGATCAGTTTAAGTTTGAGTTTATCTGATTTTGTCCTGGTAAATAGATTAATAAGAAGTATAATCAAACATTAGTGGCAGTGGTATGAGTTTTGTATACTGGTACATCAATAACTAGACATCATTGCGATGGTGGCCATTTCAAAGGGCCCCACTTTCAAAAATAAACATGAAAATGTAAGGTAATTGAAAAGGGTTTATTTTGAAGAGGAACATTTGTGTAATACAGTAAAAGCCATTTAGTACGACTTCACAGATATTGCGAATTTACAGATATATATCAAAGTTATCTTGTATCCTAAGTTATGTAAATTAACTAGAAATAAAGGGAAAAAATTATACACCGAACAAATATTTAAACAGAGAGGCTAATTCTGACCATGACCTAGAAACTTCGACCAAGGCCACTGCACATCCATTAATCAGTGGAACTCTGTGAGTGAAGTAAAAGCCAGTTTGGGCCAATGAGAGAAAAGATATGCTATGGAAAGGATTTTTCATAAAATCTGCTATGACCTTTACCTTTGATCTAGAAACATGGTCCAAGGTCACTGCACACCGGTTTCCCAAAGGCACTCTGTAGGTGAAGTATGAGCCAGATTGGGCCAAGGAGAGAGAAGATACATGTATGCTCCGTACAGGAGATCTTGGACGGACGGACGGACAGACTGATCACTATAGGGCGTCCGCCAAGCGGGGCCCTAATTATGTGGATCATTCCTGAATTATTAGCAATTTGTTACCATAGCAACTGTTTTCTTTTAAAATTATAAATTTCTATTTTCATGTTAGTGGATGACATGTAAGTAAATGAAAAGGTTTATATGGAATTGAAGAAGACATATGATTGTGCAATAAAGCAGATGATATTCTATATTAAACATATCAATAAAAATGATTTTCTTGAACTATTGGCTGCCATAGCAACCATTTTTAAAAATAAATTATGAATTAATATTTTGATATTTAGTGAAATACAATTAAATTCAATTTATTTTTTTTGAAAAAGAAAAAAAACATGAATGAAGCTCTTACTATATCCGTTGTATACTTGCCAGTATCACAAAAATTGTGATAGCAACCATTATAAGGAAGTGTTCAAGAACTATTGGGTTACCATAGCAACGTGATTTCAGACGCTTGAATTTTTATTAATTTTTTTTAATGAAAATAAGTGAAATAACAAATATAATAAGTGTAATTTATTTAATTGAAGAAATTAAATCATGCACCGAGGCCACAGATTCTGGGTAATGATAACGTCAATAGCTAATAAGGCTATAGTGATTTTTCCTGACTTTTTGGTTGCTATAGTAACACATTATTTTTGTTTAATTTATGAACTTACATTTAAATCATATTATTTTTTAAAATTATGAGGTTTAGTAATGCGATTTGTTTTACTTTTGATTTTTTTAAGCTATAATGTACAAAAAGGAGCCAAATGTTGAATTTACAAATTAATCCAAAATCTCCATAGCAACCATTTTCGTTTTCGTTTTATTTTATTTTAAGAAATGATCCCTCTCTAGAAATTTTATATCTTGTTAAGTAAGGAATGACCTTTTCAGTGATGGTAGTTGTTTGTTATGGATTGCCCGCGTTTTCTTGCTACTATGCTTAGAAAATGCCAAAAATTGGCATTTTTTCAAATTTGTTAAAATTTGAAAAATTCACACTTTTCACTGAAAGACAACCTTTTTATGACCAACTACTGAATAATTTCATCAGTTGTGGTAGTTACTCCAACAAATAGTCTATCAGAGTAGGCAACAATTAAATCTGTAAATAATATGCAGAAAATAGAAATTAATGATGAAGATGGTATACTTTCAGTAGGTTGCTCTGTATTTTTGGCCTCAAAATGGTGGTTTTGGTTACCATGGCAACCGGGACTCAAAATAAAAAATTAACACCAAAAATGTTCTATACATGGTGTTTCTAAATTGCATGCAAAAAATCAGCAATATCTGTGATGTACCATTTCCAACTTTTTTCTAGATTCTTTGATTCTTACAGAGAATGACTCTTAATACGCGATTTTACCATGGACGTGATACATTTAATCTTTCATGACAAAGTGTCAACGCCTTTTTCATTTCTGGCCCATTGTCTGGTCTAATCGTCAACAGAATCCAAAATATTTATGAAATGTTGAGGCTAGTTGAAGGATCGGGGTTCCCTATGTTTATGACTTTTTAAAATAAACGATATAAGGTCTTCGTTATTAACTATATTTACCTCACATGTAATAAATCGTCCAGCAGGACTATAGTTATAGGGCGAAGATAAACATGGACACAAGGGAGGATTATGTTTTAGATGTTTTAGATACTCGATATCCAGGCCATGTAAATTTTTTTTGTATTTAAAAAGTTTGGATGCAATGTTCGATGTATATTTGTAAGAAATGCAAAGTGTAGTCTTTAACTTGAAATATGGTGTAATACAAGACTGGACCCTTTAGTGATTAAGAATAGTACTTATGTTAACCGCGTCAATTCTTGTATTGGCATATTAAAGTTTAAGGAAAAGACGGATTATTTTAGCTGCATTTCCTTCAGTAAAACGATAATCTCTCTCAGTTTAAAAAGCCTATGATTTGCAATATCAATAATCACAGATCAAAGTCTATATTCTGGTGATGAATCAAAAATTGGACTTTCCTTGGCCTTTTCAACAAGACTATTTAAGGGGGTCAAAGGGACAGAGTATAGTTTGGCCCCGAGGGGCACCAAATGAACTCCTTGAGTTTGTGTCCCTTATAGACTCAGAAATGTGACGCCTTCTTAAACTGGGCGACACGCCGGTCAGAAATTACTTCAAAAATTCTCTGCAAATTGAAATACATAATTTCAATTTCTGAATCTATTTCTAAAATGCGTCAAGGTACGCAGATTTAGATAGACCTCTGGGGCACTAGATGATTGCTTGTTAGGACTTGTAACGACGACCAGAAAAGATTTGTTTACATTTTTACAAAGGGAAAAATCGCATGGAACTTAATCTGGAGAGTATGGCTGGTATAGCTGATGATAACCTGCGACTTCAACAATTTGCTTCACAAGCTCAGATGTATACACAGGATACATGAAGTAGACGAACATGCGTTAATCCTGACACAGTGGGTCGTTTAGGATAATATGTATTGAACTTTTGCCCTATACTTGTAGCATCACATGAGAAAAGAAGTAATAATCTTCTTTGTGTTTGTGGTTCTTCCACCGTGTTTAGTTATCTATAATTTGTTTTCAAGTAGTAAACCCATGTTTATTCATTAGTAACAATGTTAGGCAATTGTCTTTGATTAAATTTGAGAAGTATTTTTGAACAGTTGCTTAGCGGTTTGTACTTGTACAAGTGTTTTGGTCCAACATGATGGCATTTTATTGTGCTTCATGTAACATGATGAATATTAAGCCCTCAGCTAATGTACGCTAGAACTAATAAAGGCAGTTCAGGAAGCGTCAAGATAAGAACAGAACCCTTTTTATATTAAAAAGTACGCAAATAACATCTAAATTTTAGAAAGATTGTTGTAAAAAAGTGTCAAAACATCAAATAAGCCCCGGGGTTGAATATTTGGGGATGTGGTCTTAACCACATGTACCTGTGCTATATCAAAGGTATCAAGATTCAGAATCCTGATGATCTGCATATATCGATGTCTTTTTTAATCAAAGCATTATTTAAGGTTTTGCTCTGTCGTTCATTCCGTCAACATGCACTACAATTGTTAAATCAGGGCACTTATCTAAAATCATTTTAACGTCTAAATCGCCTGCTGCACAATCTTAACAAACTTTTTTTGATAAGGAAATAAACAAACCTAGCAGTAAACATTATACATTTGTTACGATACTCTAAAATTATTTATAGATATTGCGTCACTATAGCTATTATTTTTATTGTGTGACGTCATGTTCCCTTTCGGAAGTTCTCGGATGTCGCGAATACAGCCGAGGAACACCAGCACGCGATCGTCTGCGACACAGGATTCAAGAGACTTTAGACATTTGGCACGGGAATAATGGACTTTTCATACTTCATAATTCGGCTTGGGCTTTGGGCTAACCGTGGAAGTATTGTCGTGTAGATAACGATCGGTGTCCGTGGAGCTGGAGGACTTCCCTTTCGATTAACAGCTGAGTAAATTCTGTCCGCTATTATTGTTTACCTTTTTGTGTGTGTGTAACTGTAATTGTATGTGTTAATTTAGCATGATTATTTGTTTTTATCATTAAAATTTGTTAAAGTTTTAATTCGTTTTGCCTGGTGTGTTGTTGTAAGTGTGTCATCGGGAGCCCAAAATAGATTTGTGTATTCGGCACACGTTACAAATTGGGGGCTCGTCCGGGATGATCGAACTTTTGGCTTTTTGTGGGTAACTTTCAAAAACGATATCTCGGAGATTTTGATCACTGAATAATTTTTTTTGGGAATTTATTTCATTATTATACACACCAGTCAAGATGGTTTTTAACTTAGAGGAATTTTTGAATGCACCAGATGCGCGGTTACTTCAAACACTTAAGAAAGATGAATTGTTTGAATTTGTGTCAAAGTTTCACTTGAATGTAAAGCGCAGTGCTCGGAAAATAGAAATCAACAATGTTGTGATTCAGTATTTAGTTCAGAGAGGTATTTTAGATGATAGTGCATTGTCATTGGTTGAAGATTTGAAATCTAGTGAAATTGAAAAAAGAAATTTTGAATATGAATTAGAGTTCAAGAAATTAGAAATTGAACAAGAGAGAGAAAGGCAGGCATTTGAAAGAGAAAAGAGAGAATATGAAAAAGAGAAAAGTGCGCAAGATCGAGAACATGAGTTACAGATTAAGAAATTAGAATTTGAGACTCAAAAGATAAAACATGAGTTAGAACTTGAGGCTAAGGCCAAATCAAAATCTGACTTTGATGTGACAAAGAACATAAGACTTGTCCCTAAATTTCAAGAGAAAGATGTTGACAAATATTTCATTCATTTTGAGAAAATAGCAGAAAATTTGAAATGGCCAAAAGAATTCTGGCCACTATTGTTACAGAGTGCATTTGTTGGGAAAGCGAGGGAAGTCTACAGTGCTTTGTCACTTCAGCAAAGTACAGATTATGATGTTATTAAGAAAAGTGTCTTAAAAGCATATGAACTTGTACCAGAAGCCTATAGACAGAAATTTAGAAATTACAAGAAATTCAATGAACAGACTCATGTTGAATTTGCGAGAGAGAAACAGAATATGTTTGAGAGATGGTGCACTTCTAAAAATGTTGGGTCAAACTTTGAAAGGTTGAAACAGGTCATTTTGATTGAGGAATTCAAAAATTGTATTCAACCTGAAATTAGAACATATTTAGATGAGCAGAAGGTTGAGACTCTTGAGCAAGCTGCGACTGCGGCTGATGATTATGCACTAACACATAAGGTATCTTTTGTAAAACTCAGTACTAGTCAGCAGAAGATGGTCATCTATGACAGTTCTCGAGGGGGACCAGACACTTCACAGGTAACACAACCTAAGATGGCGTACTCTGAGATCAAAGGTAGGGACAAGAATAATGAAACCTTAAAGCAGGTATCCATTTGTAATTATTGTAAAAAGAAGGGTCACATTAAGTCTGAATGTTGGGCATTACAGAGGAAAAAAACCTGTAAGTAATGATAGTAAGCCAAGTCCCACGGCTCTTACATCTGTCCAAGGTAAAGTTTCCTGTATTCAGTTTGAGAACACTGCTGTTAAGTCTGTAGAACCAGAGTCTGATGTTCTTAGAGAGGAATTTAAGCCTTTTGTATTCAATGGTTTAGTGTCGGTTGGTACCGACTCACACCCTATAAGAATTTTAAGGGATACAGGTGCTTCTCAGTCTTTGTTACTAGAGGGCGTGTTGCCACTGTCTGAGAAGACACATACTGGTTCTGAAGTGCTGATTCAAGGTGTAGAATTAGGACTTATGAAAGTTCCTCTTCATGTTATAGACTTGAAGTCAGATTTAGTCTCTGGGTCTGTGGTCGTAGGCGTTAGACCTACTTTACCTGTTAAGGGAGTTTCTCTTCTGTTAGGTAATGATTTAGCTGGGGGTAGGGTGGTACCTGACCCAATCATTTGTGAGAAGCCTAGTCTTATAGGAGAGATAGAGGAGGAGAATAAAGAGTTATTTCCTTCATGTGCTATTACAAGGGCTATGGCGAAGAAAATAGGACATGCTGAACAGACGGTAAATCAGAAGTTAGATACAGGGAAGGACTTGTCTATAGATCTTGATGAGACATTTTTGTCAGCTATGTTAGATTCAGAAAGTCACATTTCCTCAGAGGATCAGCAGTCTAAAGGTGATGTATTTGGTTAACAGGAAATGTTAGACAACACACATCTTACTAGAGATAAGTTGATAACTGAACAAGAGTCAGATGTTGAATTACAAGGTCTCATTGAACAGGCTTTGTCTCCAGAGGAGGCAGAGAAGGTCCCTGTTTGTTATTATAAGAATCAGGGTGTACTCATGAGAAAATGGCGTCCCCCTGATGCTTCAGTAGAGGATGAGTGGCAAATCCACCATCAAATTGTAGTATCTAGGGCATATCGGAGAACAGTTATAGGTCTGGCCCATGACACACCAATGTCGGGTCATTTGGGGGTCACAAAGACCTACAATAAGGCATTGACTCACTTCTTCTGGCCTAAGATGAGAAGGGATATAGTCGACTATTGCAGATCTTGTCATGTCTGCCAAGTAGTGGGAAAACCTAATCAAAAAATCTCTCCTGCTGCTCTAAAGCCTATCCCTGCTTTTGATGAACCATTTACCAAGGTCATTATAGACTGTGTGGGCCCCTTACCTAAAACCAAGGCTGGTAATCAGTACTTGTTGACAATAATGTGTGCGTCGACACGCTTCCCTGAAGCAATTCCCCTGCGAAACATAAAGTCTAGAACCATTGTCAATGCTTTGACCAAGTTTTTCACCAATTTTGGTTTGCCCCAGTCAGTACAGTCTGATCAAGGTTCCAATTTCACATCCCAGGTATTTAAGCAGGTAATACAGGAGTTAGGGATTAAGCACCATACATCTAGTGCATACCATCCAGAGTCCCAGGGGGCTCTTGAGAGGTTTCATCAAACCTTAAAAACTATGATTCGAACCTATTGTTTGTCTAATGAGAAAGAGTGGGACCAGGGAATCCCCTTTCTTTTATTTGCTGTTAGGGATGCAAAACAAGAATCACTAGGTTTTAGTCCCTTCGAACTTGTATATGGTCACACTGTGAGAGGACCATTAAAATTGCTCAAAGAGAAATGGTTGGTTGAAGAGAGTGAGATAAATCTATTAGATTATGTAGCAAAGTTCAAAGAGAGGCTCAGTCAAATTTGGACGCTAGCCAGAGAAAATCTAAAGGTAAGTCAAGACAAAATGAAAACCTGGTACGACAAACGTACCAAAACGAGAACATTTAAGTCAGGAGACCAAGTCCTTGTCTTGCTACCGATTCCAGGTCAGCCTTTACGTGCTAAATACTTTGGCCCATTTGAAGTTGAACGAAAGGTCAACGAGTTGAATTACATTATTAAGACACCAGGTCGACGCAAGGGCAAACAGCTCTGTCATATCAATATGATCAAACAGTATCATAACCGGACTGACATAGATCACCCTAAGGTAGAATCAGTTGCTGCTTCAAGCACTGAAGTTAAGTCTACCCAAGAACAAGACCAACTTGCACATGAGTATGATCAGTCTACTCCTAAGTTGAAAAACTCTGATGTTTTGTCAGACTTGGAGTCTAAACTTAACCACTTGCAGGAGAACGAAAAAGAAGAGCTTATGTCTCTTATACAAGAATTTTCACATTTATTCCCGGATGTTCCTAAAAAGACCAATCTTGTATATCATGATATAGATGTTGGGGATGCATCTCCCATAAAACAGCATCCTTACAGAATGAACCCTGTAAAACAAGAATACTGTCATGCAGAACTGGCATATATGTTGGAACATGACATCATTGAGTACAGTAACAGCCCTTGGAGCTCCCCTTGTCTCCTTGTTCCCAAGCCAGATGGGTCGTTCAGATTCTGTACTGATTTCCGCAAGGTCAACACAATTACCAAAACTGACTCTTACCCGATTCCCAGAATTGAAGACTGCATCGATAAAACTGGTCATGCCAAATACGTAAGTAAATTCGATCTTTTGAAAGGGTATTGGCAGGTCCCACTGACCGACAGAGCGAAAGAGATTTCAGCCTTCGTTACCCCAAAAGGTTTCTACCAATATAAGGTGATGCCTTTTGGGTTAAAAAATGCCCCTGCAACCTTTCAGAGGATGATCAATCATTTACTTAGTGATGTAGATGCAAGTGAGGCATACATTGATGATGTGATAGTGTATAGTAACACTTTTCAGGAGCATTTGTCACACATTAGGGCATTATTTGTGAAGCTTTCAGAGGCAAATTTGACTGTAAGTCTTACAAAAACTGAATTTTGTCATGCTGTTGTTGAATATTTAGGCCATGTTGTTGGTAACGGCCATGTCAGACCAGTTTTTGCTAAAGTTGAGGCAATTGTTAATTTTCCAGCACCTCAATGTAAGAAAGAACTGATGAGATTCTTGGGAATGGCGGGGTACTATAGAAAATTTTGCCCTAACTTTTCGACCATTGCTAACCCATTGACCTGTCTCTTGAAAAAGAATAGCAAATTTATTTGGGATGAATCATGCCAACAGGCCTTCCAACAAATCAAAACAGTTCTCATGGTCTCTCCGGTTCTTTCATCACCAGATTTTGACAAAGAATTTTGTTTGCAAATTGATGCTAGTGATGTGGGTTGTGGGGCAGTTTTGTTACAAGAAGATGAAAATTGTGTTTGTCATCCTGTTGCTTATTTTTCTAAAACGTTTTCCAAATGTCAAAAAAATTATTCAACTGTAGAAAAAGAGTGTTTGTCCATGTTATTAGCATTGCAACATTTTGATGTGTATGTGAATTCATCTGTACATCCAGTTGTTGTTTTCACTGACCACAATCCACTCACATTCGTTCACAAAATGAAAAACAAAAATCAAAGGCTAATGAGATGGAGTTTGGAATTACAAGAGAAACATATTGTCATAAAACATATTAAGGGAAAAGAAAATTTAATTGCAGATGCTTTGTCAAGAGTATAGGTTAAGTAAAATGTTGTTTTTTGAAATGTATGTAAATTTTGTGAAATCATGATATTGTTTCATTGTAATTGTAAAAGTTTTCATTATACTCAAACTTTTCTTTAAGGGGGGAGGTGTTACGATACTCTAAAATTGTTTATAGATATTGCGTCACTATAGCTATTATTTTTATTGTGTGACGTCATGTTCCCTTTCGGAAGTTCTCGGATGTCGCGAATACAGCCGAGGAACACCAGCACGCGGTCGTCTGCGACACAGGATTCAAGAGACTTTAGACATTTGGCACGGGAATAATGGACTTTTCATACTTCATAATTCGGCTTGGGCTTTGGGCTAACCGTGGAAGTATTGTCGTGTAGATAACGATCGGTGTCCGTGGAGCTGGAGGACTTCCCTTTCGATTAACAGCTGAGTAAATTATGTCCGCTATTATTGTTTACCTTTTTGTGTGTGTGTAACTGTAATTGTATGTGTTAATTTAGCATGATTATTTGTTTTTATCATTAAAATTTGTTAAAGTTTTAATTCGTTTTGCCTGGTGTGTTGTTGTAAGTGTGTCATCGGGAGCCAAAAATAGATTTGTGTATTCGGCACACGTTACACATTACAGTACTGAAGTGACTGATAGCAACATCACAAAGTTACTGTTGAGTATTGCTTTCCCTTAATTTTTATTCATAAAAATTAATACACACATATGTATATTAATAATTACGTATTTTTTAGAGTAATGTCCATATCAATTCAGTATTTCTCTATTAATACATATGTATGTATTGATACGTTATTGATTTTTTACCAAAATTAAACTTGACATCATAAAATAAGATATCCAGGAAAACATATGCCGAGACTAAAAAATGTCCCTGCATATAAAGTGCATATATCTCAGTTGATTCGATACGCAAGAACTTGCTCTACGTATACCAGGGTAATCAATTTCTAAAACGAGGTAAATTATTGACAAGCAAGTTGATGAAACAAGAATATCAGCCGTCTAGTTTAATGTCAATGTTTAAAGTCATCATTTCGTAAGTTCTATGGTCGATACAATGACCTTGTCAGCAAAATTAACCCTCTTCCCCGCAGTCACGCATTTTAACGCTTGTACCGTTTCCTATTTCTAACGCAAAATCACGCATATACCGTTTCCCCTCAATCACGCATTTTCACGCACTTTAAAAAGTTTATTTTATCTTAAATTTAATGCCAATTTCCTTCTATTTGATACTTGCAAAAATCTCATGACATAAGAAAAGTTGTTTTTGTATTTAGATATTGCGTCATGATATTATTTACGTTCAACTTTAGAGAAACGTGTACCATGGTTTAAGGTGCTTGCAGGGAAATGGTAAATTTCGATTTCTATGACGTGAACATTAAGTGTATATTACATAACAGTTCAGTAAGTTGTAAATAGTTAATACAATATACCGGTATCATTGAGTCAAATGTTGACTGAAGTTTTTCATACTAATTGTTAGTCCATTATTTAAACATTGAATTGACGACAGATTTTTCTGTTTTTTCCTGATCATGACAAGGAGCACACGGCGGGTGTGACCGGTCAGCAGAAGATGCTCACTCCTGCATGGCACCTGATGTTTCGGAGTTCCGTGTTTGCTTTGCACTTATTCTATATTTTTTATGGTCTTTGAGATTGGATACTGTTTGTTATTTGCATATCCATCCCCTAATTCCATTGTCAAATTACTGACTATGTACCGCATGGAAATGAAAACAAATACATGGCTTTGTATTTATTACTTGATATTAAACTATTTTGCTGTTTTATTTATGTTTTCTGTCCAAATAATTTATATTTAATTTTTAAAATCTTGTTTTATCAAGCAGTATTACAGTGAAGAACTATATTCAGACTTAATTATAATTTTTTAAATGATCAAATGCGGGTAAAATGGCAAATAGTACTTTTTAGCTACAAAACTGAATAATTTAATTTTTTTTCAAATTATTATTTTCTTTAAATGAAAATTCCTGAGAAAGGACTAAAGAAATAAACCTACAAAATCATTACTTAATTTTATAAAATATTGTGGCATTATATGATAAAATCTGTCTACCTGGTCTTCTTGGTCTCCTTCATAATATATTTGCTGAAACTTATTTTTCAAGTGTGCCAATATGTTTCGGTTCTTTACAATAGTAAAGAAATTGAC